GCGGGTAAGAAGCAACAAAAAAGAAAAATAACAAACAAAATCCCTAAAATCAAAGACTCCTCGAGCCCATGAGAACACACCATCCTTTCTGCTCTGGGCTCTGTAGTGCTCTGCTTTGTGGGCCTGCAAGAACTCCCAAGGAAAACATGGACCAGATCCACCTGCTGGGCCATATTTTGCCTCTCTCAAAATCCTTTGCTAAAGGGAAAATTCTTCAGGCAGTGCAAACCTGGGTTGTCCACCAAAGGAAAAATAAAACTTGCAGAATCATTTTTTATTAAACATGAGTTTTGCTATCCCCAAAGCTCAGTATTATTCTGGCAGTGGAATTTTAAATAAATCAGTGAGTTGGGGAATGGAAAAGTAATCATTCATATTCATAGACCCCCAAGTGTGCACTGGGTTTGGTGGTATATGCCTGTAATCTCAGCACTCGGGATGCTGAGGCAGGAATATTGTTATAAATTTAAGACCAGCATGTGCTACAAAGTGAGCTCAAGGACAGCCTCGACTGCATAGTGAGACCTTGTCTCCAAAAGACCAATAAATAAACAAACAAATAAATAAACCCCAGGCATGTTGTCTGTTTTGGCTTGGAGTCTTTTGCTAGAGAATGCAGCCTTGTTTTTAAAATTTGTACCCTATTCATTCATCACGTAGAAAAAACCTGATGAATGAGTGCACCTGTGTTCTTCAGCACACATTTATCATATTAAACCACAGGATGCTCAATTCAAGAAAGAGAATGCTTTTTGATGACACAGAGGCCCCTGAGCCTGCCTGGCACATCCATCCCTCACCAAGGGCTCCACTGCTGTGGTGTGGCCCCCTTCTCCCAGCCTGTGACCATGCAGTGTTCAGGAAGGGGGAGCAGGACCCTCAGGGAAAGCACCTCTGCCTACCTTCTGTGCAGGCTGTGCCATCTGCCACTTGGGCAGTTTAAGGACAAAAGAGTCTCAGAAGGTGACTGCAGACTCACTTCTGGTCATTGGTTATGGTCTTCAGTCTTGAGTTTTAATATGTACCTCTTGACCCACCATTATTACAACTTTACTGTATTCTGCTTTCAAAAATACTTATCAGTTTGACAGGAATAGTGTTCCCTATATCACTAGTATTAGCTCTGTGCAAACAGTAGTGTTTTGCTTTACTTTTGCAGTTTCAGGGAGTAGGATAAGCCAAATGTTTTTCTATTAGAGCACTTCTACCTCTGTGCTCAGACAACTCTTTGTATAGTCACTCTTTCTTTTCAGGCATTCTCTCTATTTCCATTTCAGAGCCGTGAGAGAAATTTTACTGAGTTTTAGAGATATTATCATAAATCCTGATGCATGAGCCCGGGCCCTTTCCACAAAGCAGAGAGTTCATCTGTGGGCATGCACTGCTCATTCCTTTTCTGTTGATTATTGTGTTAGTCTCTTTTCCTGGGAGTAAATACCTTATACCTACAGTCTAAAGGAGGGCAGGTTTATTTTTTGGCTAACAGTGTCAGAGGTTTCAGTCTATGGTAATCCAGTCCAAGGCTGAGACATATGGGAAAGTTGCTCAACTTGTGGCATCCCAGGAACAAAAAGAGCTGGGGCAAAGTCCTAGAATAAGAGACCACGGACCAGACACAGGGCATCAAGGTCATGGTCCATGATGCACATCTGCCCCACCTCTTAATAGTCCATTTAGCTGCAAATTCATCAATGGGCCAACCAACCTATTGATGACTTTAGTACCCTCACAATCCAGTCATCTCTCCATGAGTCTCTGGGTCCAGTCAAGTTGATATTCAAGACTAGCAAGCACAATTATCTTGATGAATTTCAACTTTTCATGCTGCATGCATTCATATTTGCATTCATGACAGAATGTAGCCCATTTGCATCTCTGGAAAGTATTTCATGAACACCTACCTGTCATACAGCCATGCAGGCAGCCTCTGCCTGGCACTCTTGGGGACTTTAGCACCTAAAGCAGACCTTGGACAACAACACAGTTATAGATAAGCTATATTAAACCTCTTTCTGGGCCAAACTACACTGCTAACATGTTATTAGAATAAAAAAATAAATGAAGGGCCAAGTGAGAGTATGCTGTAAATGACTGCTATCCACTCTGCAAGATAAAGTCAATAATAAAATCAGCAGCTCTCTGATCAAGTGTGTGCTCTCAGGCAGAGATCTAAGTGTATTGTCTCAGTCCTCACACTCACCCTTAAAATGGGAACTAGTATTGCTCCCTTTTCAAAGTGAAATATAGCGAGGCTCTAAAAAGTTAACACCCAGAATCTCACAATTGATACTGACAGAGCTAGAATATAAGCTGTCTTAGCTTATATTAGGCCACCCATTTGAATGAATTCATTCTTTAAGGACAAGTCAGCATAAGAACTAGAATTTTAAGATTGAAGCTTTCCTTGGGAAAAGTCATATCATTTTCAGCAAGTCATCTCTGCCATCCCAGTCCTCAGCACTGCCAGAGAATTAAAAACAGAATAGAGCATAGTAGAATAAAATAAAATCAAACTCTTGCCTTTTATGAGATTATTGAATAAGTCCATGAGCTGTATGTCTGATCTATGAATGCAAAAGCCTGGGTTTATTACCACACGTGGCAACAGTAGTTTTCAGTTTACTTTTATCTTTCTTCCTTTGACTAGAAATAGTCACCTTTGGATGCTTCAATTTTTATTGTAAGTACTTTCCTGAAAATTAAAATTTTGAAAGTCAATACCACTTTAAACACATGCAGGTAAGTGAGTACCCTCCATGTTTGACCACAAGGGCATCTGCAGATCCACACATTGACTCTTGATGTACATGGACTTCTGGATGACCCAGGAGGCATCCAGATAAAATGTGGAGGGCAGATGTTCAAAAGGAGCTTTTTGTATGTATGTATGTATTTCTAGTCTGTATATAAGTGAAGCACATTGATCCAGTGGATTTGTAACTAACAATATTATAATATTGCTTCTTACCTGTGGCAGCTGACTTGTGCCCTCTGCCTTTAGTCCCCGCATCTGCCAGCACTGTAGGAAATACTGACAAGAATTAATTGGGTTCCCTGAACCTTAAAGCTGAGCTCTAATTCTCAGTCCCAGTAATCCCCACTGGACACTGCTCTTATGTAATGTGCTGTCCAGAAGGACTTTCTGTTTACAGGAGTTTTATCTTATAGGCACCAAATAATACTTACACATTTTCAAATTCAGTAAATTAGAATCTTGATCATTTTTCAGGGTTTTCAGCTCAATCTAAGAAAATAAAGCATGATTAAGGTCAACATATTTGGACTATGTATTGTTTTCATGATTCTGATATGATTCTATCTAAAATGTGTTAAAACACAAAAGGATAAGAAATATAAACAGTTTTGACCATCATCCTGAAAGACATTTTCAAGTGCTGTAATCTCAAAATGACATCCCAAAAGATTAAACTCCAAAAAAATAAAACCCAAAAATATGATTCTGAAAAATTTAATAAAAATCCCTTGAGACATTTACTTATATTTTTAGAATGTAATGGCTCTGGCTCCACCACTTCTGCCTGTGAGATCCTAGGTGAGTTATTTAATTTCTCTGTTTCCTAGTTTTCTCATCTTTAAAACAAATCTATCAATAGTAACCAGCCTTTTAGGGTTGTTTCAGTGAATGAAAGAGTCACTATAAGTGACTATACATCACAGTTGGAACTATGTCTGACATACTATACCCTCCAACACTGGCTATTGTTATTATTGTTTCTACTAGTAACTTGATTACTCTAGAGGAGTTGGTGCCTTGGTCTTACATATTCTTCAGGTGTCTTAAGGGTTTCTATATTGTGCATGCTGTGTGTGTGTGTGTGTGTGTGTGTGTGTGTGTGTGTGTATTTGTGTGTGTGTTTATGCATTCATGTGACATGTAGTCGAGAGCATGGGTCTTTATGTAACATCCCCCTTCTTGGCATATAGTAAATCCTCAGTAAGTGCTGGTTTTCTTCCCCTCTGGTAGTACTTTGTAGCAAAAAATAAATAATGGTGGCCTTTCTTTTTCTGCACACTGTCAGTGCAGGTTTTGGCTGCAGCAAAGGCCAGGTGAAACGTTCTATAAATTAAAACTTGGAAGCTTGTTTTGCCCATAGCACCACCAGTAGAATCGGGTAATTCCTAGTGAGATATTTTGAATATCTCTAGATGGCAAAAAATTAGCAGTAGGGGAATGAACTTGGAGGGAAACAAAATGAAGGGGGAAACAAACCAATGGGAAGACTCACCATTGAGATGATGCCACTTTGGTAAGTGGCTTTAAATTAGGAGTCTTTTCTTTCCTGCGGATCTTAAACAAGAAAATGGATGGGATCTTAAACAAGAAAAAGATTAGATTTTATATTTATATCTTTTGGTGTATTCTTGAGTTTTTAAAAAATTGTTTTTGGAGAGGTTTATGCTCAATCCATTTTATATTTCAGTGCCAATAAAATGTAGAAAGACTTCAAAAAAAAAAAAAAAAAAGAAAATGGATGGGGTTAGTCTAAAAGGAGCAGGAGTCCATGAGTGAACAGGCAACCATAGCATCTCTTGAGGCTTCTCTCAGCTCTACAATTCTCCAAGAGCAGCCCTTCCCAGCTATTGCTACATTTACACACCTTGTTAGCCTACATTTCCATCTCTGCCTAAAAGCCATTAAGACTTAAATACAAAGAGAGTTTCTTTTTAATGATACAAAATCGAAGTAAGTCACTAAATATGGAGGTAGTAGATGTTGAAAATCAACTTTCTAGTCCCCTTGGATCTGTCCCCAGCGTATCTGGTAGCTTATGTAAGCCACTGAGGCCTGCTACTAGGAAAGCACCAGAGCTGTAGAATCTTGGGGAATGAAGAGAAATTGGCATACCATGCTTCAAATGCACTTTGAGGTCGGGGGGGGGGGGCTGTGCCCCCAAAAGGCATGGGTGGCTGGTGGGTTAGGCAGGAGAAAGACCTAGAGCCAGGTGCCCACTCACGGTCTGCTGCTGTTTGATTGACAGGTGTGGCAGCTCTCTCTGGTGGCCCCTCCTTTTCAACAACACAGAAAGATGGAGAAGGAGCGTGTTACACATCTCTGATTTCCGATGTCTGTTACCCACCTGCAGAGGAGTCTACCTATTTCACTGGGATTCTTCAGAGGGAAAATGGTCACATCACTACTTCTGAGAGCTCTAGGGAGTTAGGGATCCCCGGACGTCTCATACCAGATGTGCCTGGGGTAGAGCCGCATGATTTATTTAGTTCTGATTCTAGAATAGAGATGACTCCTGCAGGGTCTACCGAAGTGGACAAGATCCTAGCTGACCCTCTGAGCCAGATGAAAGCAGAAGCCTGTAAATACATTGATATAACAAGGCCAGAGGAGGCAAAATGTAAGGAGCAGCATCGCCCTGAGTTGGAGAATAAAGACTTGGACTTTAAGAGTGAGGACACTGAAATCTCAGCAAAAGCAGATGTCCCTGAACCTGACAAACCTGCTCCTGTGGAGGGGAAAATCATTAAGGACCACTTGTTTGAAGAATCCACCTTTGCTCCTTACGTAGATGATCTCTCTGAGGTGCAGCACAGTGCTCCTCTAGTCACAGCCCCCGTCAAAATCATGCTGACTGAGATTGAGCCTGCTGTCGTGACTGCTGTCCAAGATGATAAGACCCCAGAGAAGCATGACATCTATCTGAAGCCAAGCCCTGACACAGTCCCTACTGTAACTGTCTCAGAGCCTGAAGATGACAGCCCAGGATCTGTCAGTCCCCCATCTTCTGGAACAGGTAAAGGTGCTGGGTTCCCTGCCCTGGGAGGACCCTTGTGGAACTCAGAACTCTGAAGCACTTATAAGGAGTGGAGACTTGTGTTCAGGGTGCTTGACTTGAAAGGCCCCTCTGCTTCATGAGCATGTCACCTTTTCAGGTCTGTGACCATTGTAGAAAGGTTGTATCCAAGATTGCCCCAGAAGTCCTATCAGGTTGTCCTTGAAAAATGTTTGTTTCTCCATTTGAGCAGGAGGCAGACATTAACACCCCTATGTGTGGTGCTGTCTGCTTCTAGGTTAGCTTTCTTCCCAGCCTGCTAACCTGGCATCCTGGCATTGGCATGGGCAGTGTGCCTGGCAGGGATGTCTTGGCAGGCCACACTGGCCAACTTCTAAGTCTGTCCATGAGGAGGAGGGAAAGATGACAAGAGACCTCCTCCACAGGGACTGTTTCCTCCTGCTCCCCAGTTTCAGCACTGTTACTCTCATTTCACTAGTTCATTGAAGTTGTGCCCACAGTTTCAGCTTTGAAATGAAAAAAATATTTTGGCTAGAACACAAAAAATCAAATTCATGAGCCTGTGATCATTTCCTGTTTGGATACTGTACTGTGACTGAAGGCAGGGTGGTAAGCCACACTGAGACACAAAGGGGGCCTCCTTCACCCAGGGAAAAGCCCCAGGTCACCCTATACTACCCCAGTCCATACACCTGTGACCGATGCATCTCCCCTCAAGCTGCTGGGGGACCAAGAGGCTCTTCCCCACCCTGAGCCGCCACATTAGAGCCACACTTGAAAAAGCCCCAGTGAGCATCTTTTGCTGGGGTGGAACCAAGAGGAGGAGGCATCGCTCTGAGCCCCGCACTACAGTTTGAATCCAGGCATTAGAACAGAGCAGACGGACTGAAAGACACCTGCTTCTTCCCCAGAGATTCAGCATTAATTCCTCACCTTCCTAGCACCTCTTTAGACTCAGTTTTAAAGCTCCTCCTGGAACTGCACCAACTCTCAACTTCTAGATTCCTTCATTTGCTCAGAGCTTTTTTAGGCCAGGTACTCTCCAGGCCCCTATGCACTCCCTCTAGTGAAACAGACAGCCAGTCAAGAAAACAGCACCACTCCAGTGCCACTGTGTCCCAAGAGATGCAAAGAGAGTGCTGAGGTTGGTTCTCAAAGGAGCAGGTAGAAGAAATCAGGGGCTCAAACCTAGGAGGTGCAAACACAGTCACTGCACATAAGAGGGGAAGGGAGATTGCAGTTGTTGTGACAGGGAAGGAAACTGAGGCTCTGGGTAGATTAGATGTGACCTGTGCAGCTGTAGTAGGACCCTTGTGCTCTTTCTGGCAGTGCAGAATGAGGTTCTTCTATTACTGCATGGCAGGAAGATACCTGATGCACTGAAGATGCACGTTGTGTGTGTACTCTGTGCTTTTCAGAGCTCTGGCAGGGTCTGTGCGTCAGTTGTCAGGACACTGGAGTGGTCTGGCTCAGAGAGGACCCCTCATGTGGCCTCCATGCTTTCTAGGAGAGTCACAGCCCACACAGTTTATGACAAAGTCTTGGCACAGGGCACAAAAGTTATTAGAGGATGCTTTTCCTTTTCTTTTTTTCTTCGTTGTTGTTGTTTTTGTTTTTAAATAGTCAAGGCTCACTGGAGTTCTGGAGCAGCTTCAACACAACACAAAGACACAGCTGACTCACATAATCATGGAGGGCTTCTTTTCTCCTTTTTCCCTCCTTCTCACCTTCTGTCCATCTCTTTCTCTCTCTGTCTGTCTCTCTCTCTGTCTCTCTTTCTTTCTTCCTGGAACCATAAGTGAACCCAGATTCTCTACCACTGAACCCCACCCCCAAGTCCTTGTTTATTTTTCTGTTTTGAGAGTAGGGTCTGGCTAAGCTGCCCAGGCAGAACTTAAACTTGCAATCCTCTTGCCTCAGCCTCCTAAGAATCTGGCAGATCTGGGTGTTTTTATGATCTTGGGTTGTCCACTTGACAATATGAAGTGGGAGCAGTGATTTTTTTTTGCTGCGATTACATCAAATAAACTCTAATCAAAAAAATTCTAATCAAGATTAATTCAAGAAAGACTCCTTGACTCAAAACACAGTTCTCCTACCTAGCTTCTCCCTCCACACACCCTACCCAAAACACCTGAGTCTTAAAACAATAGATAAGAATGAAATGTGAGACCTGTCTCCTCATTCTTCTTATCCCAAAAGAGGTGCCCTACCTTCCCCATCTTCTTGTGAGCCTTGGCATTGTGGACTTCTCTGCCCGTAGACAGAGGACACAACAGCTTTACATCCCTTCACTGTTTCCAGTGCCAACAGATAAAACTGACATCAAAGGTTATGTGCAATTTTATAGAAACAGAGGAAAGAAGAGCATCTGAAGCAAAGTGAGTTCAGTTTATTGTTTGATAAGGAAATTGTCAATTGTAGAATATATACTAAAAGAAATTATAATTGTAAATGGTTTTAGCCATTGACCTTGAACTTTAACAAGTAGTCTAATTTATTTCCCTCAGTTCTGATAGATTATTCTGTTTTGTAGTATTCATCAACATACTATTTGCATCTTAACAAACAATATACCCTGGGATATAGAAGTGACTGGAAGTTTCTTATCAGCAAAGATCCGTCAAAAAATGTGAAGCATTTTAGGAAATTGTGGTCCATCTTCTGCTGCCCCAGATCATTGACCCATCAGTTGTATCTGACGCAAACACCAAGAAGCATATTTTAGTGCTACAGAATGTTTGAGGTGTTAGCTCAAAAACGGTGATCATTAGGAGGTCATTATTAAACCTTAGCTTCCCAAAATAAGAAGGGAGTAATAAAAAGCAAATAAATTAAAGCCCTTTAAAGACTACTCTTACTATATCCTTCCATGAAGATTCTATATTCTGTCACTGATTTTGAAAATCTATTCTTTATTTAAAAAAAATTCATATTATCAGACAAATGTGAAGCCCCAAGGACTTTGCCATGTATCTGATGCAAAAGGTCCCTGCCCTCACTGAGCTTACCTGCTCATCAGAAGCAACAGGTAATCAAAAGTAAATGCATTAGTAAATAGTGTGATTTCACAAAGTGTCACTACCATAGAGAGAGAGGACTGGGTATCCCCAGGGATGGCCCTCTGAGGAGACCCATGATCTGAGATCTGAACAAGGAGAAAAGCCCACAATTCAAAGAGAAGGGCTAAGGGGGACCTCAAGCCTGGGACAGCAAGTCTGCAGGGTGTGTTGTTTTGGAACTAAATGGACAAAGGTGCAAGAAGCAGGAGAGCGGCTGGGAGGTGGGCAGGGCCCGGATCTCCCGTGAAGAAGTTGGATCTTGTTCCAAATGCAAGGGGAAAGTGTTGAATGCTTCTGAGCTGGGAAATAATATCATCCATTCATCTATTTATCAATATCTAGTGGCCATTTACTTCATACCAGATATTCTTTCCTTGCTAAGGACACATGGTGAGTGACAGCAAAATCCCTGCCTGCGTGGAAATTTCATTCCAGTTGGAAAGATGTAAGACCCACATAAATAACCAGAATAAATATCAGGCAGTCATACTGCTTGTGGAGAAGAATAAAGATCCGTAACATGCAGGGGTGAAGGGTCAGTGCGGGAAGCAGGGAACCGAGCTGAGGGTGGAGCCATGGGATTGGTGTCTGAGCAAGCTCGGTAAGGTTTCCCCAAGCAACCAGGCAGAGGCCCAGAGCTGGGGACTTCCTGTGAGTGTGAGGAGCAGCTAGAAGCCCGGGTGGTCAGAACAGGAAAGGGTGGCAGGTTCAGATTAGGGTTTTCAAATGACCCTTCCGGATGTTGTATGGAAAAAATCGTTAGGAACAAATGTGGTTCCTAAATGGCATTATTGTTCACAGTTGGATGCTGGTGTCTGCCACTTTGTGAGACAGCCTTTCCTGTCCTTGCAGCACCATAATTATCAGCAGCAAACATGTCAGCCCTGAGGGATGATTCTGACCTCCTCGGTTTCCCTTTTCTATTTCATGATTTAATTGCTGTGTTAGTCTTAAATAGCCATTACGTTAGCTATAGATCCATAAAGCTTTAAGCAAAGTTAAGAAACTTCATTCTAAACAGTTCCCTGATTTCTCCTAGCATTTCAGTAAACTTCTAGGTCCCATTAAGATTGAAGATCAATGCCTACAAGAGCTACTGAGTCACTTTTATCTCATCATAAGGACAGATTGCTTTTAAGGACATATATTTACTTGCCCAAGATGCAAATCATCAGACCCTTTTCTTCTGCACCTATACCTCTCTCCTCTCACACACTTGAGTCAACAAAGCAAGACCCTTGTGCTTTCTTTTCTGAATGCTCTCGCACAGCAATTCTTAACTGGAGGAAGGATCACTAGATAAAATATAAATATTTCATAGGACATACTTACACTAAAAACAAAATCAAACTCACTGTGTAGCCAAGTTTCAGATGTAAGTGGAGGCCTGCACTTTTATTTGCTTCGTCTCCACCCCTCACATGATGTGACTTAGAATCCTATGCAGACTTAAAAAGTGCAGATGCCTACATTCTGTCCCAACCTGTTTCGACCTAGTTGGAATTTCCAAGAGAGCTTTGAGCTACACATCTGTTCTAAGAACTTGAGGTCACATTCGCAAGAGCACAGTCTACAGAACACTTCCTGTGTGGCAGGTGCAGTTAAAAGTGCACTTTGACTGCCCTTCACCTTCGAGGCACTTCAGTCTAGGGTCAGGGAGAGTGAAGAGACATGTTAATAAATCATCTTGCAGACAAACTCAGAGCTGTCCATGGTTTGCAGTGAGCAGAATGAGGGAGCATCAGGTGGTCTCATGCAGAACACAGCGCCAGGCCAATTGTCACTGATAGTGGGCTGCCCTGCCACCTGCTCTCCTTAGATCTGAGCCCAAGACTTCCTGTGTGAGTGGAAAGATGAGTGCCACAGAAAGCATAAGCGCCATGCTTGTGGGCATATGGAGATCCAGCAGTGGGGTGGTGAAAGAAGCTAGTGAAGTGGAATCTGTGCACTTCTGTGTTGGAGCAGGAACAGTGAGAGACAGCAAGGCAGTGAGGAGAGGGGGCCAAGCTCTCAGGCCAGGGCTGAGGCCCGGCAGCTGCACCCTTGGCTGTGCAGGGTGAGCTAGCCCAGTGTGCTTGCATTGCTGGGAACATCTAGGAATGCTGGTGGTCAGGCACTGACCTGTGACCTAAAGTATGAGAAATGTCTTTTTGCTACTGCCCACAGTGAAAAAGTATATCACATGATTGTCCACAATAAGATTTTTTCCCCTCCTCACCTCTCCCCCGTGCCATGAGGCCTGCTCATCTTCTGACCTCCCAGCTTCTAGCTGTTGAATCCCCCTTGTTCACTGTATTACTACCTTGGCTCATGGTCTCTGCATGATCTTTAACATCCTTCCATTTCTCACTCATCTCATCAGATAGAACCTGCATGTATGATTTCTGTCTTCAGTCTCTCCTTCCCGTCCTGCGATCACCAAAACCCAAAATTGTGATAATTTCTCTCCTCAGCTATTGCAGTTGCCTCTTAATGGGTCCCCCTGTCTCTCCTGCTCTCCTGCCTGTGTGTTCCAGCTGTCCCTTGAGTTCATGGCTAGGCTGGGCCACATGGATAGTGAGTTAGAGGCCAACTTGGACCACGTAGCAAGATGCTACCTCAAGAAACAAAACAAAACAAAATCCCAAAATAAAAAATTTACACTACAGATCAAGGCAGGAGGACTGTGAGTTTGTGGCTAAGCTGGACCTAACGGATAGTGAGTTAGAGGTCAACGTGGACCATATGGTAAGATGCTACCTCAAGAAACAAAACAAAATACCAAAAGAAAAAATTTAAAGGTGGTTAAGATCAACAAGTTAGGAAGAAAATATGAAAAGGAGAAAGGAGAGTGTTTCAGAACCGAAGCAGGGAGGATGGCATGTCACATACAGCAGCTGAAAAACCACAGAAGATGAGAGAGAACTCAGGAGTTACCTGGAGGTTACCAGGGAACTGAGTCTAGCTTGAAATGCCCTATTCATTCAGATTCAGATAAATCCTCCAATCATGGTAGCTTAACATGAGTAAAACTGCTTCTCACACATGGTGTAATACAGAGTGGGCAGTTCCATAAATGCAGGCTCAGAGTGAAGTCTTCTACTTTTCTACTTTTTACTAAGATACATAATCCACAGATCATATAACTCACATATTTCAATGGTCTCTAAAATACTCACTTCATTCCTTTTTATGGCCAAATAATATTCCACTATAAAGGGTATACCACATTTTTTCACATTTTTTTTTTTTTTACCTATTGATTAGTTGAGGGACATTAGGTTGTTTCCACTTTTGGAAGCTATAGTGAAGAATACTATTATAAACATTCATATACAAAGGTTCCTGTGGACATACGAAACTCTGTGTCTAAATGTTTGAGGAACTGCCAGATTGTTTTTGAACAATTATACCATTTTTCCTTACCCCATGTGTATGGGGGTTTTGATGTCTCTACATCCTTTTTTTTTTTTTTTGTCTTTTTGAGTCTCGGATTTGTAACAGTCCTCCTGCTTCAGCTTCTTGATTACTGGTATTACAGATGTGTACCACCACGCCCAACTTCTCCACATCCTTGTTAACACAGTTATTTGACTTTTTGAATGTGGCCATCAAAATGGATATGAAATATTATCTCATTATGGTTTTGATTTGCATTTCCCTGGTGACTGATAATGCTGAGCATATTTTTATGTGCTTTTTGGCCATTTGTATGTGTTCTCTGGAGAACTGCCTATTCAAGTCCTTAATTCAATTTTTAACTGGGTTATCTTTTTTGTAATTTTTTGGGTACTTTTATTAGATATAAGTCCTTTATCTGAAATGAGATTTGCAGATTTTTTTCCCCCAATCCTGTGACTGCTGCTTTCATTTTCTTATAAAGGGCTTATTTAAGTCATTGATCCATCTGGACTAAAGTTTTACATATGAAGGCAAGGGCTTCCTGCTTCTCTATATGATTACCCAGCTCACTTTTCATTTCCTTCTCATTCTCCAAAATGTAACTGGCCCCATGTCAGACCCCACTTCCCTTTTAAACAAGATAGCATGATATAGTGAAGAACACAGAGAACAGAAATGTGTGAGTTCAAGTTCAAGCCCCATCATTTCTAGCCATGTGAGTATGATGTTTAAAGGCCTAGGCAGAAAGCCAGTGACACATGCAAAGATTGTAACTGAAGATTTTAAGGAAGGGCCTATTCCCAGCTGTGTAAAGATGGCTAAAAGAATGAGCAAAGGATGGTGAAGCCTTAGCACCAGAGAACATTATACCCCTAGACCTAAAGGAGCAGGTGCAGGGAGGGATGGCATGGCTGAAGCCACCAAAAGCTGGAGCAGCAGTGCCATGAGCATCTCAACATGGCTGTTCTCCCTGCCTTCTGATGCTTCCTGTTGGCCAGAAACAGCCAGAAACCAGAGGGGATGGGATCTTTTATATAAGAGACTGAGCCTCTCAGAGCACAGAGCTAATCCAAGAGAGATAAAAGAGAAAAGCTAGGACAGCAATGGACAGGCCACTAGAGCCCAGCAGCTGCTGAGAGATGGATCTGTGACGGTGCTGCAGCCTGCAGTGCTCGGGAGGTACGGCTGCTCTGTGGACACTGGCGGTAGGCCCTTCTTCCCTGCACTGACCCGCCATTCAGAACGGGGCTGCTGTCTGACTGTCACTGTTACGCTGTTCCTATCCTAGCAAAGATCCACGCACACGGCTTGTTAAAGAGCTTACTGCTGGAAAAGTGGAGCTAAAGATGATACAACAAATTCTTTAAAAATGAGTTTGAAAGAGATAATGAAGTAGTTGTTTTAAATCGCTTCAAATAAATCACATCATTACTCAAAACCCACTAATGACTTCTCTTTTGTTTCAGAATAAAAGGTGAGCTGTGACAGGTCCCTGCCTCTGACCTCTCCTTTTAAGTTCCCTCTTTAGTTCCTGCCCCAGGCACAATAGTCTGCTTTTCACATTGAGAAATCCATGCAGCCCCCACCTCCAGACCTGCCTGCTACTGATCCCTCCACTTGGGGTGCCCTTCGTCCGGTCAACACCCTGAGTCACCTCCTGGCCTTCTTCAAGGGCTGACCAGAGGGTCACCTCTTGGTGAAGCCTATTTAAGTCATCCCATCCTGTCCCCACATTCCTTTTTCTCCTGTCTCCCCTTTTGCCCATAGCCCTGCCATCTTCTAACATACTGTACATTTTATCTATTTGTTGTGTATATTGTTTATGTATTGTGTTCACTCCACTGGAATAGAAGCAGGCAGCTTGTTATTCACCTCAATCGCTACTATAGCCTAAGTTCATAGCAGAGGGCCTAACACACAGAAGACTCACAATAATAGATGAATGAAATATGGTTAACATCACATCCACTATATAGATGTTAAAAACATGAAATATTTTATGCATTGGATTCTCTGTTCTCTCACAGCTCTATGGCAACAGGAGACCTAATCCATTCCTCTACCTCCCTAGATCTCCCCCAGTAATTTTGATGCTTTGGATAAAGCTTTAGGCAGCCAGTTCTTCTCACGTATGAAAGACAGAGACCACTGTTAGGATATTCTGAAATAAGGCCTTGCTCTATGACAAGGCAAAATAAACTCATGAGCATTGTTGCCATGGTGATCCCAAGTCTATTCATCCAAGGGAGGAAAGCTCAGCAAGACTGCTGGTGCAGCCTTCAGGCCATCTGGACAACCGTCAGGCGTGAGGCAGGCATTCACCCAGGGGACTGAAGGCCACTACTGGGTTCTGCTCTTCTGAAGAGGAGAGCGGGGAGAGAAGGAATGGCAGTGGGTGGCCACCGTTGGAAGCCCAGCAGGATGGTGCTAAGGCCATCTGTATAGCCTGTTGGTGGACACAAAAAAGCTATCTCCTACGTTGCTCCACTGAGCTGCACTTCCCACTAAAAAAAAAAGTAATAACAGTGGTTCTTAAGAGAGAAGTGGAGCTCAAAAGTCAAATGGCACCCAAGGCTCCAAATTTCCTAACCTTATCCTACGAAAGGAGAAAACGTGAAGTGCTATGGACACTGAATAATGAGTGTCTTTCAGATTCATTAATATTGGTGGATCCAATTAGAGATTAATTTATGGAGTCTGAAGTTGAAAAGCCCCTCTGAGAATGAATCAGAAATTAAAACAATGAACTTCTAAACTCTTGGCTGCATTGAAACAGGAAAACTTCTGTTGCTGGGCTTCTGTTGTGAGAAATGCTGGGTCATTTTTCAAACAGCTAGATGACGACTGATGAGCATGAAAAGCTTTGATTAATTGGGCCACAACAGTAAATAGCGTTGAAGTTCAGGTGGCCTGCCTTTCCAACATAGCTCTGGAAACAGACCATTTTTTGTGCTAATGAGAGTTAAATGTTTCTCAAGCAACAGCAAAGCATCTCCCTGATGGAATTCTGTTTTGTTTCTTCTCTCTGTCCATCTGTCTGTCCGTGTGTACCCCTGGCTCTGACTCCTGCTGCGGACGACAGAACCATCTGCGGCGGAGTCCCCCGGGAAAGGCGGCGTGTCGGAGGACGAGCTCGTCACCGCCCTCGAGGAAGCCAAGGGGCTGCCCTTCGGGGCCGCGGGGTCCCCGGCAGCCGGCTCGGGGCTGCCCAGCCCGCCCGGCCCTCCCGAGCACGAGGCGAGCAGCGCCGAGTCGGGGGACTCGGAGATCGAGCTGGTGTCGGAGGAGCCGCTGGCCTGCGAGGACGCGCCGCCCTCGGGGTTCGCCTTCGGCCCGGCGGGCGGCCCCCCGCCCTCCCCCGCCTCGCCCGGCGTGCAGTACAGCCTCCTGCGCGAGGAGCGCGAGGCCGAGCTGGACAGCGAGCTCATCCTGGAGTCGGGCGACGCCTCCTCGGCCTCGGAGGGGAGCCCCAAGCGCGAGCAAGACTCGCCCCCGGCGCGGCCCGGCGCCCTGGAGCTGGGCCGCGAGCAGCCGCGCGCCCCCCGCCAGCTGCTGGCGGAGGAGCAGAGCCCTTTCCGGTACCCCGCGGGCGCGCCCCCCGGAGCCGCGGACGCCGACGGAGCCGCGGACGGAGCCCCCGACGGAGCCCCGGCGCCCGGCAGCTGCGGACCCTGCGCGGCGGCCGGCGAGCGCCCTGGAGCGCGGGGATCAGGAGATGAGGTCTCCGGCGCCGCCCCCCAGCTGCCGCTGCTCTGCAAGCAGACAGGTAACGGCCGCCGCACCCCGCGCTGCCCAGCCCTCCGGAGCTGGCCTCTGCCTCTGGAGGGACGCGTTCCCCGGGAAAGGCCCGCGCCCTTCCCTCTTCCCGGCCCTGGGGAGAGGCAGCGGGGGCCCGTCAAGGCTGAGGCCTGGTCTAGCAGTCTGGCCTAGCCTTTGGCCAGCACAAGGGCGTTCCGTGAAGGAGCCAGGGGAGCTGTGCTCCATCCTGGCTTTCACCGGAGGAGCGACTCAATTTTTTGTGTCCTAGGTGGTCTGGAAGACAGGGACCAAAGTTTCCGTTTCTACTGTCTCTAAACAAATCCAAAGGTGACATTAATTTCAGAGTCACTTATAAGTTAGCATGATTTTAGCCTGGCCGTGTGTCCTCCCTATGAGAAATCAGGAGATGAGGTCTCCAAATGAAGAGAGCAGGGAAGGTGGTACTTAGCTTCCAGACCCTGGACTTCTTGACTGCAATCACATGCAAAAGTCAGGAAAGGACCCAGAGAGTCACGAATGACTGAGGCCCTGCGGTCTCTGTTTTAGCTAATGGACCGCCTAGGGTAAAGACAGGGACAACCTAGAACAACTTTGTAACACTTCAGGGAGCCTTCCACCTTGCTAGTCTACTTTCACTTAATGTAGGGTTTTCCCTTGGGGGTCTGATTCCTGTGCCTTTGTGAACTTCTGTGCTAGTGGCAACTGGAGTGCTTCATATAAAAAAATAAAGGGGGTGATCTGTCTCATTATAGATTAGTAGTGTCTGAATTCTTTACAATTAGCACACAGTGGTTCAAAGGAATGATATTAAAAAGATAATTGTGCTATACCATTACTGACAGCTTAGATACAGGGCACCATAATGGGAGCTGATTTCCTAAATAACTGCTAAGAATTAGTGTATTGTGTGTGAAAGAGAGAATATCTGAAGACAAGTTTAACAGTATGATGTATGTTTAAAGGAATATTAATACTCATTTAAATTTTTTGCCACTGTGCCAACACAGAGGAAGCCTCCATCCTGCAGAGATCCAGAGAAATGACCTTCTGTTGCCTAGGTCCTGTAGCACGTGGGCCTGACTGGCACAGGCACACCTCTCTAATACATCCCTTAATGGTTCTGAAATACTCACTGTGTGCACCGTGCTGTTCAAGCAGGTTTATGCTCAAAAGCAAGTCTGAGAGCTGAAAGTAAAGGGACTCTTGCAGGCCCATTTCCTTCCCTAGTAAATCTGAGAGACAAGTACCACAGCTGGGACTGACAGACTAGATATCTAATGAAGAGCTAGGGGAATGAGAGCTGCAGCTGTGAACACAGACTTCAGAGAATCTTTTATGACCAATTTGGGGTCATTCAGATCTCTGCACAAGCTGCCCCACATGGCTCATACCCTCTGCTGCCAGGTTTAAAAGTTAGAGGAGAGAGAGGCAGTCTTCAGAAGATAAAGACAGGCCAGGGTGAGAAACCTCTGCTCTCCCTTGCCCCAGGGGATCCTTTAAAATCTAGTTTCCCATGAAGCCTACTCAGCTGCACTGTCTGTGGAGAGGCTCTCAAAGGCTGTCTGGGGCAGTCAAGCACGGGGAGCCTGTCAGATGACTCAGAGCTACCAGCAGGTTGTCTGAGTCCTGAGACTCCCCCTGATCCCTGCTGTGCCATCTCAGCAGGTACAAAGAGATCATGCTGTCTGGTCTCCCTCATACTTTCCCAAGTCACTATCACTGGACAGTAGGCTTGTGCTCCTGCTAGGTGTGATTAGGTGAAGCAAACTTTGGGGGAGCAAACATCCTGCTATTGGGATGCCTAAATTCATACTGATGTACTCACAAATATGATGGCTCATCGCGGTAGTCTTTGGAGCTATTCTGCTGTGCTGAGTGGCATTTCAGAAGGGGCTAGAAATATTTCCTATAGATCTAGGGATATATCGATGGCATCATGGCAGGTACCATTGGGGAGCACCAGGGTCATTGGTGCATGTACCCTGCCTGTCCATTCTGAGAGCTTCCTCACCTCTCAGAGCCCTCCAAGGTTGAATTAGAGACAGAATGCTCTAACCTCTGATATCTTGCAGCACCATATTTTTGCAGCACCCACATCTTCAAATGTAGTTACATTTTCATTTCTACATGGCTAGCCCTAACTCTTAGGAACATCAGAGCAAAAAAGCCAATAAACATTCTCAATAAAACACTAATACCAAATGTACTTGATTATAGAGTTTTACTAGCTTCTACCTGTGAGTTCATCATACACTTTAGGAAACAGTGTTGTTTTTGTCCAGTCCTTGCATTCTGATTACATCATCATGAACATGTATGATGCTTATAGGCCAGCTCCATGAATGTCACATGGGAGCCTGGCAGAGATGGGGAATCTGCCAGATGGGGAATCTGGGCCTCCACTGAGGACCTGCAGAAGCAGAATCTTCATCTAATGAGATCCCCTGGTGATTGTAGTGCTCCTGAGAGCTTGGGAAGAGTTCTTGCCTGTGGCAGCTAGCTGTCTCATTTCTTCCTAATGCCATTCTGGTAGAAGTCACCAGTGACAATTCTCTTTGCCAAACATGTGACCTCTTTGCAATCTCATCTTTTCTGTCCTGTTAGCTTAACCCTCTGCTCATTTAGTGTTATACTGCTAAATCAATCCTTCCAACATTAATAAGAAAGCAGTGTATGTTTATGATAGTACGTTTAAGCTGTGAAAAAATAGTGTAAAATACACTTAAGTTTCCACATCTACCTTTCGTTCCTAATTCTCAGAGAAACCAAAGACTCATTTTTTTTAATTGTCATACTCCTTTCTGGAAATTTTCTTTAATCAGGCATGTGTAAACTTTTTACTGCACAAGTGATACCGTGTTGAACATACTATTTTGTCGTATTTCATTTAATGGTAAAATTGAGCACAATGTCAACACATGTGAAAGTCGTTCTCTCCTCAGAACTTTTCTTCCCTTATTGCGCAAATGTTTCCCCTTCCTGGTTGTCTTGATTACTTTTCTCTTGTTGCTGGGACAAAATACCTGACACCCAAAATGAAGGAAGGAAAGGTTTATTTAGCTCACTGTTGTGGAAGTTTCAATCCATAATGAGCTGGCTCCAAGGCAGGGTGGCCTGGCACTAGGAACCGTGCTTCAAGGCAGCAGCCAGAACAAAAGGGGACAAGAGCAAGCCTCTTTTCCTCCTTTATATGTACACAGGCCACCTCCCCCAGGGTGGGTGGTAGCACTCATGGCTTCACACAAGTGCCCTCTCAGGGTCATACTGCCTGCCTCCCAGGCCTTCTGAAATTGTGGTGGAAGCCTTTTTAACCTCAGAACTTTGCATTCTGTATTCACCTAAAACCAATGCCATGTGGATGACGATGCTGAGGTCTACTGCCAGGTGGAGCAGTAGCCAGGCTTTTCTCTGTCTTGACTGTAGGGGTCGAGTGCCTGGATCACTGGGCACTCTGAATCTGATTCTGAGGAATGGATTCTCTATGTCTTTGCCATTCTGGAACCTGGTGTCGCACTGCCATTTTGCAACTTCCTGTAGCCTCTGCCCACCACTATGGGACTTGGTGCTCTATGGCTTTCTCTCCAAACAGTTTTTTTACTTTTGCAGTTTTGAGGCTGCAAAGCATGGGGACCCACTACCTCTTCCCATGATGCCCACAGGCCATGTTTTTTGTTTATTTATTTTTGTTATTTCTCAGCAATTGAGATCTCAGCTGTATCTTTACAGTCCACAACTTTACTGGAGCTTTCTTCTTGGCCAAACTCACAACGTATTAAATCATCCTGCTGGTTTCTTTGCTCTTGATACGCAACATAAATCTGGCAAAAAGCCCCCAACAATAGCCATGCCACTGTCTCAATATTTGACTGCCTTGAAATTTCTTTTGCCAGATTAGTTAGTTCACTGCCTTTAATCTCCATCTCAGGCAAAGTCTGTGGACACAAGCAAAATGCAGAAAAACTTTCAGCTAAGCTATAACACACATCATGTGGAGCCCAACAACCAATTCAGTCATTCTTTCCAGCAGAAATCTCATGAGCCTGGTCTTTACCAGCAGGCTTTCTATGAGCCTTCCCATCTTCTGAGCTCTGACCAGAATCTCCCATGCCTAATGCATTCCAGCTGTATACATTCAGGTGCCATCTGAACTTTTCCAAATTCTTCCCACAAGTCATTCGCAAAGGCTCTTGAAACACGTGGTCAGGAATAGTCATGGCAACAATCCCACTCCTCCAATACCAAATTCTGTCTTGGTTATTTTTCTGTCAATGCTGAAACAAAATACCTGATACCCAAAATTAAGGAAAGAAAGGTTGATTTAGCTTATACTTTTTGGAGATTTCAGTCCATAATCATTTGGCTCCAAGGCAGGGTGGCATGGCACAGGGGCAACACTTTAATGCAGAAGCCAGAGCCAAAAGCGGGGAGAAGAAGCCTCTTTTCCTTTCTTATATTGTACATTGGACACCTTCCCCATCTCCAGGGCTGGTGTAGCACTCACAAAATCTCTGTGACCGCTTTTTGTACATCATGAGGATATTTACAAAGTAAAAATCCTGGGTCCCTGCTGAATCTCTTAGTTAAACTTCTAAAGGTCTCAAGTTGACACAATGTATCAACTATAACACTGGTTCTGTTCTTGGTCTTTTACCTCTTTTGCAGTGTCTCTTGCTATGTCCCTTCCAGCTCCTCTGGCTTGTTCCAGAGTCCTTTCCTTGACTGTCCTTGTATCCTTGTGTCCCTGCTCTCAGGGTTGTATCACTCCTGCAGGCTTTCAGCCTCTGCTTGAAGTGTGACACCTTCTTCCTCTCATCAGAGTTCTGTTGCTTGTTGGATATCTTGTAAACCTCCCCAATTCATTATATCCACGTCATTTGTCAAAACCTGCTCCTTCTTTCCTTCTCGGATGAGTCATTTCAGTGTCATTCAGATCTCCATGATTGTAACCTTCAGAATCAAAATACTACCTTATGAGGGTATCTGGTCATAGCTATAACAGTTCTAAAT